TCATAACCCCTTCTCACTCTCGAGGGCGGTTCTAGATTGAATGTGCATGAGCACGTATGTGTGTCAGCTAAATATTCTCTACCCGGCTGAGTGTGAGTGAATAAGAGAGCAAATAAGCCAGACACCGCTGGGTAATCTGTGTGCATTGGTTTGTGAGGGAGGTTTTTGGGTAAACAGAACAAGAGAGAGCAAAACACACAGAGAGTTTAAGCGAATGTCTCAGGGTTAATCATATATATTAAACCAATACCTCACATCCACCCAAATTCCCTGAGACAATCTTGTTTGAAGCCAATGGTCACAGCGAGTCTCTAAAGTCCAGAAGGCATTCGGGATTGAAACTTTAAAACCAATTCGTGAATAAACACTCCCCTTATCCCTTCTCTCTTACTGCTCTGAACTCAGAGCTCAGCAGGGACATCCAGAAATCTACATCAGCAATTAGAGCTCTTTACGGCGGCCGTCCCGAGGGAGCAGCGCAACTCCAGCTCCGCTCCCTCGGCTTTCTGTTGCCTAATAATCCCTTCTTTTCACCACCTAAGTGAGACATTGTCAGACACCCACTGATGCTACTAAAGAAGCTGTCAGCTTTGTAAAGTGTCTACTCTCACAGGTCCTGCCTGTTTGATCACAACATGTGCTTTTAAACATTTTACCTCCCGCCACGTTCTGGGAGTTTCAAACAAAGAGCCATTCAATGACCGAAAAAAGTTGAAGAAATGTACTTGGATCTGAAGCTATTGTGTTTTCTCTACGTTTGGAATACTGATATGAAGAGTTTAGAACCCCGCTTAAGTGTGCCATGCTCATATGCCTACCTATCAAGCTAATCCTAATGAATACAGAGAGGCTGATAATGAAAAACCAATAGAATTTGATAAAAGCCATGAGCCACCATTTCCGCCTCCTTCTACCTCAGATTTCATAACACTACATTTGAAGGCTACCTGCATAGGGACTTCATAACACGTGCTTTAGCATTGAATAGCATATTGAAAAAGAAATAATTGAATGTTTGTGAACAGCTTAAATCAGTATTGGCAAGATGGCATCAGAGATTTTGTGAAGTAAATTACATTGTGTTGATGCAAGGAGCCTTAAGCTAAAGTGACAGGCATTTGCTCCTTTTATAAAACCATTATCAAGAACCGTTCTCTAGAAATGTAATTCATAAGGCTCACACTTTTATAAGTTGTATGCAAGACTCCTATGACCTCATTATTACCACCAAACTGATCATTTTCTTTCATATTTTCTTGTTATTTTTCATCACTTTAGTTTCAAGGCATCTTTCAAAACACTCTTAAAAAAGATGGTTCTTTAAGGGTTCTTCAGTAAACAGAGCAGTTCTATATAGAACCATAAACACACAAAGAACCAACTGCATGCTTAAAGGGTTCTTTGCACCGTGAAATTGTTCTATACATGTGTTATATGTGGGTCTCAATAGAACCTTATGGCAAATTGTTCTGCATAGCACCAAAAAAATATCTTTATTTGTTATAAACTTGTCATCGTGACAATAGCAGAACCCTTTTGGTGCTGTATAGAACTCTTCAAATCAAGATGGTCCTTCAAGGGTTCTTCAGTAAAGACAGCAGTTCTATATAGAACCATAAACACAAAGAACCATTCACATGCTTAAAGTGTTCTCTGCATTGTGAAATGGCTCTTCAGATGTGTTGTATATGGGTCTGAACAGAACCATTTTGCAAAAAGGGTTCTTCTATTGTTAAAAACCTGACATTGTGTCAGTAGTAGAACCATTTTTGGTGCTATTTAGAACATTTTTCAAAAAGGTTCCATATATAACCATCTACAACACATTCTCCTTCAATCTGAAGAACTATTTAATGATACCTAGAACGATTTTAGCATGCAAATGGTTCTTTGAGTGTTTTTGGTTCTATTTAGAACTTTACCTAAAGGCCTCTGCCTTTTAAGTTCTTCATAACAATCTTATGCTATGACGTTGTGAATACTGATATAAGCTGTTTACATAATGTTCATTTAAATTAAAATAATTTGAACTGCATTTAAATTGCCTCTTAAATGCTCATGCGCGCATCATGAAGTTCCTATGTAGGTAGCCTTCAAATGAAGTGTTACCCCAAACTCTTTGCTCTCACTATTAAGTGCAGTTCCACTTTTTTCCTTTCATTGCTATTGATAATGCCTTTAAAATTGGGCTGCCAGTTTTATTTTATGTTAATATTTATTTTAGTTATTTATTTATTAATGTTGCTTTATCAGCTCACACAAATAATTTGTACAAAATCTCAGTGCAATCAAAACAAACGCTACTTCAGGGAGAATTATTAGTTGCATGGGCCATTTAGATGCTGGTAGATCTGATTTAAAGGGGACGTCCACGAGTTTTTTTTTGTTGTTGTTTTTTAATTGCTCCTTTTAGAGGCATTAAACTCTTCAGATGTCAATTCTGACAGAACAATTCTGTCATTTTCTGTAGATCACAGCATTTCACATCAAGCCACTCTGAATGGCTTTCTTTATATCTTAATGGTTTAATTATGCGGACATTTTGAAAAATTGGTGGAATTAACCTTTAAATGCAGGGCACAGAATCCTGCCCTGCTGCATTGGCCAATATCCTTCGGCAGTGCACTGCAAATGAGTAGAGTCTGGTATTGGCTGTTGCTGTGATGACACAGTGCGACATAACAGAATTTAAGGGAGTTTTTTTGACAAAGTGAAAATCCATAAGATTTATATTCAAGACTGTGAGCCTGCAGCAAAGGCAAAGGCAAAGACATTAAACAAAAAAAGGGGTGGGTGCGGTAAAATGTAACACTTACACAACTACATGTGTGTAAGGACTTGATGCATCTTAAAATGAATTTCATTATCTGAAGACTGTGTTTCATTGTTTAATAACTATGTTTGGCTAGAGTGAAATTTGAAAGCAGCATTATTTTTACACACTGGGTGCATATTAATTGAACCAGAGAGAGAGAGAGAGAGAGAGAGAGAGAGAGAGAGAGAGAAGCACGTGAAAACACTTAACATGCCTTACCTAAAATCCCATGTAAATAACTGACTGAACAAGAATTTCAATCTACATTTTTTTCCAAGCAGTTATTCAAATAGTAATTAGCAGTCACTCTCATTTAAAATCATCTGTAAACTTCAGCTGAGTGAATGAATGTGAAAAGCTTTAGTGAGTATTTGCTTCTAATGTTTTCTAGGTTTCTGGTAATAAATTAACCAGAAATAAAAACAATAAAATAAATAAATAAAATAATAATAATAATAAAACCCAGACTGTGAATTAATCAGATGTGGAAGGCTGCTTATTATTAATTACTGCACTTGGGTCAGTTCAGCACTGTGTAGCTGCAGGTTCTCATCATAATGCAGCGGCACATCTGATGGGAACAAATTCATTTTGCAGGCCAAAAATATCAACAGCCACCCAAAGTGTTGCTGCAATATTTATGTACCAATAAAAAAGGCCACTGACTGTATAATGTATTCTGTTGTTCTGAGTAATTCAATACTGAAGTATCAGTGAACTTGTAAGAACATGTTGTTAGAAGAGTTACAAGTGGTGTTTACACTGTAACTGTTGCCTTACCTCTTCCAGTTTGAGTAAATGAGTATTGTATGCAGCACAGACCCATGGGAAGTGTTCATGCATGTTATAGAATTACTGAGTCAGATTTCACAGACAGGAATAATGACTAGTCTTCCACAACATTTTCCCTTCAACAGAGAATCTCCATTCAGAATGCTGTGTAGTCCAGTACTAGGTTTTAATTCCTATCTGGGAAAATGCTATTTTTTTCTTTTGACTACAGTTTGGGAATGATGGAAGAACACTGGTAACACTTTACTTGAACTCTGCTACATAACACTGACCTAACACTGCCATAAACATGTCATGGCAGATGTTGCATGATGTCATGACCTGTCATAACAGATTTTGTTCAGTAATAAAACATGGTCCTGTAACCACAACAGGTTATTGCCATGACAGATGCCATCATGTTTGATGTCATATTGGCTAACTACACTGTTATACAGGTATATTTTTGTTTATTAAGGTACAGACAATGTAAATGTTCCCTCAACATCAAGGTACAACAGTGGTTTTAAGGTCCAACTGTGAACCTTAAATAATTTTTTCCAGGTGAAAAGTATGTATTTGTACCTTTTCATAACCGAATGTTTTAAAACAGAACAATAAAATATAAATAATAAATATAATAAATATAATCAAAAATAAAAGCCTGGAGACGAGACGGGATGTATGGGGTCAATACAACTCAGAAAACATAATTTCAATGGATTATGGTACAGTTATGTTCCCTGACCAAAGATACTGAGATGTACCCTTGAGGGGACCACCCCAGTGACAACAGGGGTTCTGCCCCAGTGACAGTTTAGTACCTTTATTTCTGAGAGTGTAGAACAGACTAAGCAAAAAATATGTCCAGTCATTTAACAGTATAATGTTACCATGAGTTTTAACTGTCATGATATTTGGCATAATGTTTGATGTCCTGGTGGTTAACTAGAGTACAGAGAAACTGACATAAGGATGTGACAGAAGCTGCCATTGCATCAAAGATGACAACATTACTGGTTAAGGTGACTTAACACTGTTATATTACTGGACGTAATATGTCATGACAATCCATGACAGCATATGACATTTACCATGACATGTTATGGCATGGTTATGTCAATGTTATGTAGCTGGGTTCTAGTAAAGCGCTATCAGAAAATCCTTTTTCATACAGCTGGTGAGAAAAAAAGTGATTCATGATTGGTAGTCAGAATGTGTGTCTCACTCCTGGCCACAATATCTACCATCCTGGAGAACAACTTGTTCTCTTGCTTTTTTTAAAGTTGGAACAAGCTAACATTGCTTGTAGTGTAACCCTGTTTATATGCGGTCTCTGAGAAACAAAAACCTTTTTGGGTTTGAGCAACTGATTATTGTGTACAGCACAGTAACTGTTTGCTAATGGACATACCTGTAGATGTCTCTGGCCATGCCAAAGTCTCCGATTTTGGCCACTCTTCCTGGACCTTTACAGGTGAGCAGGCAGTTCCTGGCCGCAATATCCCTGTGAGGGGACAGTGATGTGAGCACTAGGTTGGCTGAATAAAGTGTCAACATTGAATGTCTTGTTTTCTGTTCTGCATCATAAGGTCTGTACTAAACACAAAAACATGTTCATTTCAAAATACATTTCTACGATCAATTCTAGCAGTTATCGTTTCAAATGAGTCCTGCTGGCGCTGAGCTAATTGCACCAGTAAATAAGCACTTAGTGCAGGTGACCTGAATGATGAAATGATGGCAGACACAGGAAATGAACTGTGAGATTTGGGGATTCTCATAAAGGCTGCAGTAATAAAGTCCAATAATGAGAATGTCCAAAACATTACACTGAAGCAATGTGCCATCATTAATTTCTCACAAAGCATATTCCTTCAGTAAAATAGTTTTGTCACTACAGCATGTCCTTTTATGTAGATACTTGTCCGTACTTGTGTACACTGTAAGATCTGTTAAATACACAGTACTGGGCAGATGCCTGTGGCAACATAGAAAATGCTATGTAAAGCCATTTATCTAATTAGGAAGGATGTGCACTGAAAAAACAAAGCAAAAAAATAAAAAATAAAAAACATATAGAGAAATAACATCAGAATAAGTAAGTGGTGTCTTGTGTGCTGCATGTTGCCATGACTCCACAACTATAGTCTTCAAATACAGCTTTTAAATAATAAGTTCTACTGATGATGCTACTACAGCAATAAGTACATCAAAATCACCTAAGCACACCTCTGATGCAGCAATATCAGTAATATCAGTAACATCAGCAATCAGGGAACATATCTGGGCCTTCTAGGCCTTCAGAGAAGGCCTGATGATTTCTGGGAACCAAAATATACATGTCTGTAACTTTTACTTATGCAGTATTTATGTACTGAATAATTTTTATTCAGTACAATTATGCTTGCATTAAAACTCTGCAAGCATTACAGTGCTACCCTTGTTTCATTGTTTCGGATGAGAACAAAAGAGTTCGTCTTAAACACTGACCAGAAAATTGGCCAATCAGGAATTTTATCTTTGGTACACTGTTAGAAATAAAGGTTCTGTACAGGTACATTTTTCGTTCATCAAGGTACAAACAATGTAAATGTACCCTCAAAGGTACAACAGTGGTTTTAAGGTCAAATTGTGTACCTTAAATAAATTATTCCCCTGTGAAAAGTACATATTTCATGATCTAATGTTTTAAAACAGAACAATAAAATAAAAAGCCTGGAGACGAGACGGGGTGTATGGAGTCAGTACAACTTAGAAAATATCATTTCAATGAATTATGGTACAATTACTTTCCCTGACTAAAGGTACTCAGATGCACCTAGGTAGATACAGCTAATACTGGAATATCAGTTGGGATATAATGGTAATGGTCACATGACACTGTTATATTACTGAACAAAATCTGTCATGGCAATTCATGACAGCATATGGCATCTGCCATGACGTGTTTATGGCATGGTTATGTTGATGTTATGTAGCGAAGACTATGTTCAAGCAAAGATTTACCAAAAAATCCTTGTTTATATATGTGAAAAAAAGTGATTCATGATTTGTGGTCAGAATGTTCCAGTATAAATAAACGAGGCCATGTCCTGGAAAACAGCTTGTTCTCTTGCATTTTTTAAGTTGGAGTAAGTTAACGTTGCTTGTAGTGCAGCCTTATTTTTATACAGTCACTGAGAAACAAAGAGTCATGTGTGTTCAAGAGAGAGCGTAAAACAGCCACAGACAGCATCTTGTTTTCTCTGGACTGAGCAACAGCAGTGAAAGATGGCATGGACTTTGTGCAGGAGTGCTGAAGAAAGTCTGTGGACAAAGCCTTATGTTTGTCTCAGTGCGTCTCCCCATTAGCCAGATTGATGATATGACTGCATGTGTAGCGTAAATGAGCTCTAATTGGACTCGTCTGTCACGGTCACCTGGGTGAGGGTGTGATGTGGAGAAGAAGTTCAAGTTCCGCCTCAGACAGAGAGGAGGAGTCATGCTGAGGACAACATGGCTGAAAGAAGCAAATGTCCTGAGCTCAGAGGTCAGCAAAATGACCATCTGCTGGCCATGGACAGACAGTGTGTGTATACCTGTGAATGAACTGGTTCTCCTCTAGGTACTGGCAGCCGCGGGCTATGTCTCTGGCTATGTTGAGAAGATCCACCATGGTGAGGCTGGAAGGATGTTCCTGAGAAGATAAGAACAAGACTGTGTTCTGACATGGAAAGCAACACAGAGAGAAGTAGCAGCCCCTCTATGCCTACAGTTTAACTATATACAGTACTGTACAAAAGTCATAGACCACCCTTCATTTACTTCATTTACTAGACTGGATATAAGATAATCTACTTGCATTCCAAACTGAAGTTATGCAGAAAATGGAACTCCTAACAACCATGTCCCTGGTAGACCACCAACTCCAGCCCCCCTCAGATAAACAATAATTGAAGCTTTCGTCTTTGAGAGAGATGAGAAAATCAAGCTGCTTCAGATCTGTAAAAAATCCGCAGGTGTTTCTGTCCATCCTTCCACTGTGAGAAGACTCAGTGTTGAAAGGATGTGTAGCTGTCAAGAAGCTGTTACTCAGAAAAGAAAATAGACAAAAAACTAACTGCAAATCAAACAAAGAAGCTGGTGAAAAGAATGACAGCTGTAATAAAGTCAAAGGGTGGACGCACTAAATTCAGAAGAAAAATGTACATTACATTTAGTTGTTAACCCTGAACACTGCCGAGGGACGCGAGTGACGGCAGGAGGAGGAGGGCGGCCGCCAGAGATGAGGCGACGGCGGCCACGAGAGGACGAACGTGGGACACGAGTCCCGAACTCCGCCACTCAGGCCCTGCATCCTGTTGTGGAGCAAGGGGCACTGACAGGGAGGCGGAACAATGAGCTCTCTTTCCCTCTTGGTTCAGGTGGCAGTGTGAGCGCCTTTTAAAAGAGCAGCGACTAACCAGAGAGGGAGAAAAGGATGGGCAGCAGCAGCGGCGGCGACAGAGTGAAGAGCTGGAAAGCTCGAGTGAGAAAAGCAATGAAAAGTCTCGTTTGAAGCCACTGAAAAGTGGCCAGCTACGCTTTGGTTTGGTTTCAGTGTTGTGTTTGTTTGGAGAGAAAATAAAGTCAAATGGCTGCTGCAAATGTTTCTACTGTCTCCAGTGTCCTTCCTAAGCCTGGGGTAGCAAATATGTTTTTTGCTTTTTCTGATGCTGAAAAATGAATAACGTGTAGTTAAGGGCCGTTTTGAATGGACATTAAATAGATGAAGGGTGGTCTCTGACTTCCGCACTGTACTGTACAGCACAGTTAAAAGAGAGACTGAACAACTGAGAAGAAGGTACAAGTGTGTGCATATCCAGAGGTCTTCTCACCATTCTGGGTCTCGTCTCCCTAAGGAAGCTCTTGAGGTCTCCTCCAGCCATCAGCTCCAACAGAATGAAGCGTGGCAGGGCCTGCAGACTCACCCCTATACACCGCACGATGTTCTGATGGCTGAACTTACTGTCAGAGAGAAAACATTTGTGAGCAAGAACTTGCTTATGTGTTTACGAGTATGTGTGTGTATCTTTGCCAGTCCTGGGATGGTTCAAACACAGAGATCCATTACAAATTATTAATTATTTCTCTCAGACTATATATTACTGTTCTTATTGTTTCCTATTGAAAGTAACCCCATTACATATTACAGTAACACTTTACTGTAGGGTACGGTTCATAAGGCTACATGACATCTACATAAGCTTGTCATGGCGACTGACATAGACCTACATAAATGTTTATAAAGGCCTATTCCAACAGATGTCATTTGCTATAAAGGTTGTATTTGCCAATTTTGATCAAAGTTAGCTAAAGTAGCCTTTATGACAGATGATGCCTATTGGAATAAGCATTTATAAACATTTATGTAGGGTTATGTCAGCTGTCATGGCAAGCTTATGTGCATGTCATGTAGCCTTATGAACTGTGCCCTACAGTAAAGTGTTACCCATATTACTTTACTTCTATATTACTCACTAAAACCCAAACAGATCTGCACCAGCTAGAAAGTAGAAGAACAACCCTTTCAGTACTTTATTTAGCAAGAAACAGCCAATCACAGTAAACATCATTTAAAAGGCTTATCACTATCCCTGCCTTTAAACAAGATTTTATTATAATTATGAACAGCTGATGCTGTTTGAAAGTCCAGAAAGTAGAATGCCTCAAAATAAAACCTCTAAGAATAAAATAAAGCTAATAAATAATATTTCTAAATGAAGATCAAATCTGGGCACAGGGAACGTTATCCATCAGTTACGTATTAGAATGATTAGATGCTTTGACAGGCTGTTTGCCAGGTTTACTGCACTTCCCACACTCACACTCGTCACGTTTACAAAGTCATGCACTCAGCTGTCACAGGTAGCACACACACACATAGTAAATACAAGGACAGGCACGGATAGTTTTATTTTGAGGAAATGTATGTTATATATGTATCATGTGTAAGTAACACTGCTCTACTAGAAACATGGAGTAACAGAAGTAACAAAATTCTAATTAAGCCAGAATTTAGACTGTAATGTGTTAGACTGCTTTGTTTCAGTAAAAAGCAATAATATTACTGTAACGTATTACCCCACAACACTGGTCTCCGCAAATGTTGATTACCTGATTATGAGAGCCTCCATCAGAAAGTCCAGTTCATCCTGCTCAGAACACACCTCTGGAAGCGTCTGATTAAAGACCGACACCAACACACTTTAACACAAAATACTGCCACTGACACATTTAATACAGTCTCACATAGACCTGCGTATATGGTTTCTGACACTGTGTGAGATTCAGTTATATACAAAACTGGATGGACACATGTTCACTCCACAGCTAGAAACAGTAGTAGAAGCCATCAAAGCTGACCTTTTGGGAACTTTTGTCCAATTTTATAGATAACAGTATGTTATAGAGTGTTCAAAAGCACTAGTCTATTTAAGATTACTTAACAACTTGACATTACATAAGGCAATTATGTTTAGGCATGCAGTCTGGACAGGGCTAACTGGTAGGGCATATTAGCTTCATAGCTCAATTTAAATATATATATATATATATATATATATATATATATATATATATATATATATATATATGTATTTATATAAATTGAGCTATGAAGCTATATATAAATGTTGTTTTTTTTTATTTTTATATTCATACCACAGTATTTTCCACTATTCAGACAGATAAAATATAATAATGCTGCTTCTTAACTTCTTAAAAAACACCAGGCAGTTTGCAATAAAAAACTTTAGTAAATATAATAGTATTCCCCACTAACTAATCTACTGGATAGGTTTTACGAGCTGACGCATCCTTCCACATCTTGCTTAACAGCTTTGTTCAAAAGAGCACAACAAAAGAGTAAATAAAGAAACTGTGCAAAAACAGTGTAATGCTACTGCTAAAGTGGATGTTTTTGAGACGTTTTTGCTTTTACACCAGCTCTTTCTAGTGGTATGATTAAAGTGGTAAAAAAAAAAAATAGACTTGTTTCATGCACATGCATGTTACCATGGTGATTACCGCTAGTGGCCAATATAAATGACTACACTAACGTAGGAGCATATTGAAAGTAGCCCTAGCAGTACAGGTAATGCTGATCTCCACTTTTTGTTGAGTTTATAAAAGTTATTTAGACTAGATTGTTTTGCAGAAATACTGCTTTAGCTTACCTTGACTGCTACCTGCATAGGACTGGGTTCTCCAGGTATTCCAACAGCCAGACCCTCATAGACCTCTCCAAAAGCACCATGCCCCAAACCCCTACACATCACAAAACACACTGTGTTTGCTTTTTGTCATGTGCCTGGATTCTATCTTGTAGTAACACTTGCATGGTGTTCAGACACTCTTATGGATTGAGTCAGTCCACAGTACCCCGAGAGATAAGAAGCAGAGTTAGTGATATAGCTGACCTGGTCAGGGAGATGTTGCGGCGGGGAACCTCCTTAAGGTCGTTCACAGATGCCATCTTGCCAGCGAAGCAGTAGTTGGGGTTGTAGTCGGTCATTATTGTGGATGCTCGCAGCTTACTCAGCTTGCAGTCCGGACTCTGTAGCTCCAGCTGAATGGACTGAAGCTCAGTGTGCTTGCGCCTGTACACTGGAAGTCACAGAAAACATAGGATTTAGCATTTAGCAATACATACTTACAGCAGCTTTGTATGCTGAGGTATTGATGGTGTTGGCAAAGGTTATAAAGAAACACATGCTCATCATGTGTTTTCAGGCATTATTTGTCAGCCCCTCTACTGCATTCTTTATTGGTCGGTTTCTAAGCAAAGGAAAACTAATGAATAGATATAATTTGAATGGTGGACTCAACACTGAATTGGTACTGGCTTGATAGTGTGTGTGGTGCTACTACATGTGCATCACGAATAGCAGCATTGCTAGGTTTTTTCTAGTAGGGAATCCTCAGAGAAGGCCAAATGATTTCTGTGAAATAATAAAAAAGTGTCTATTATGTTTAATATAATACTCATGCTTGCTGTATTTAGTACTGTAAGCATTACAAGTTATGCAGAAATTCTCTAGTTTAACTGTTATGCTTTGGTTGGAAACAAAAGTGTTTAACACCCACAGAAAATGATCAAATCTGGATCTTTTTTTTTATTATTTTCAATGGAAGGGACCAATTCTGTGAGGACAAAAAATCACTTTAGGCCTTCTGGAAGTCTGTCCGAGTGGTAGCCTGACCATAGGCTTCAGTCAGAGGGGAACTCGGCAGCTCTATGCTAGAGCTCTGAAGGAGTCACTGTATAACTGCTATAAAATAAAATATACACCGATCAGGCAAAACATTATGACCACTTCCTTGTTTCTACGCTCGTTGTTCATTTGATCAGCTCCACTTACTAAATAGGTGCACTTTGTAGTTCTACAGTTACAGACTGTAGTCCATCTGTTTCTCTGCATACTTTGTTAGCCCCCTTTTACCCTGTTCTTCAGTGGTCAGGACCCCCATGGACCCTCACAGAGCAGGTACTATCTGGGTGGTGGATCATTCTCAGCTGCTGGAGTTTATAAACACCTCGGTGTCACTGTTGGACTGAGAATAGTCCACCAACCAAAAATATACAGCCAACAGCGTCCTGTGGGCAGCGTCCTGTGACCACTGATGAAGGACTAGAGGATCACCAACAAAAACTGTGCAGCAGCAGATGAGCTATTCTCTCTGACTTTACATCTACAAGGTGGACTGACAAGGTAGGAGTGTCTAATAGAGTGGACAGTGAGTGGACACAGTGTTTAAAAACTCCAGCAGCACTACTGTGTCTGATCCACTCAGACCAGCGCAACACACACTAACACACCACCACCACGTCAGTGTTACTGCAGTGCTGAGAATGATCCACCACCCAAATAGTACCTGCTCTGTGAGGTCCATGGGGGTCCTGACCGCAGAAGAACAGGGTAAAAGGGGGCTAACAAAGTATGCAGAGAAACAGATGGACTACAGTCTGTTTTTTTTTGGTCTCTTTTTGACATTCATGGCCTCAACTGAAGGCCTAGATCTAGTAGTCATGGTTCACCACTGGTTTTTCACATACAATAGTGTGGACTGTTAAATTGAGAGTGGTCTACCACTCAAAAATATCCAGCCAAGAGCAGCTCTGTGGTCAGAAACTGGCCACTGATGAAGGGCTAGTGGATGGATTACACATATTGTTCATGGCGAAAAGATACTTGATACATGGCTACAGCATCTTTCCACCTAACAAGGTAGTTCTAAAAGCAAGGGGCTTCTAACAAAAGGCCAGGGAGCATGCAATATATTCTCGAAGCAACTCAAGCTAGACCACATGTGGACATAAACAGATGTTAAAATCAGTAGGCTCAATAAAATACAGTCAAAAATAAACAGAGATTAGCACGCTGCATGAAAATACACACTCCTGTAAACTCCTTGACACAATTGGGTAAACAAACAAGACACATGCATGCATACACACTCCAATCCACCTACACACCACACACACACACACACACACACACACAGGAAGCCTAGTGGCCTTGACCCAAGCTGTAAACACATTAGTGTTGACTGTGAAAGTGATTTATTCATAGATCCGTAATGGACGAGGCTTGTCAGGGGACAGTTAACTGGCCATCCATCATCAGTCTGTTTCATTCATCAGTGGGAGACTGCTAGTCTCCCTAGCCTGGACAGCCCTCGTGGATGATGTGATGTGTGGTGTGATGGCTCAATGAGTGTGTGGGAGCGCATGATAAGGCTGTGTGTGAAACATGTGCCAGGCGCTTGTCCACACTCACTCATCTCACACACACACACACGCACACACAACCAAAAACAGCGACATGGCTGTTAGTGCAACATGTACAAGCAGACCGCCCTTAGATTATGTCTACAGGCACTACAAATTTTAAGACGTGGTGCAAAGATGTCATTTGCAAATCACTTTGTTTGTCTTCACTGATGATTTTATGTGTGGGTGTATGTGTATGTGTGTGTGTGTGTGTGTGTGTGTGTGTATGTGAGATCGCATTCTCTCTATTCCTCTATTCTTTTCCCTTGTAGATACATTCGTATGCAAGAAGTGCAAAATACCAATCCAAGTCCAATCGCATGTTTTGTTGTTTTTTAATTGAAAATAAGTTAACACATCCTCCACTATGGCATTTTTCTGCAAGTTTCAGTGCACATGTTCTAATGTGTTGCTAAGTTTAATAAATTAGGGAAAAAAAAAAAACATGACATATAAAATGTGCCATAACTTTCGTGGAGATCATATTTTATGTTCCTTTTTTGTTTGTTTTTTTTTTCCTTTCAGGGATTCTAAACTATTTTGTCGGAAACAGATAAACTAGGATTTCACTCCACTGTGTACCTGTACATAGATGGAATGACAATAAAAGCCTCTTGACTTGACATGACTTGACTTAGGAGGCCTTATATGACCATCTAATCTTCAAATATACATAGTTCTATGAAGTTAGCACAAAACCTAGAAAGATATGTAAATGTGCTCTAGCAGAGCATCTTACCATCAGTCTCAAGACTCTTTTTTCTTAAGTAATTACTCAAGTTGTTTTTCAGTAAACAGCTTATTTACTCCTACTCGACACAAGTAAATTATCACTACAGTAAGAATTTCCAGACCTCTTTCCACCCCTGATCCTCAGTGTCAATGCTACTACTTTTGGCACTTTGCACTGCCACTTTTTGTGTCCTCCACTGTACACTGATGTAGCGGATGTTCTTATGTGTCATCATAAGTTCTTTTTCATTGCCGTTCATTTTAGTACTTGGACTTTTTTTTTATTTAAGTCAATATCCTTGAGGTCTCTGATGTGCTTCACAAGATTTGAGGGTTATCTGGCCTCTGATTTAAGGTTTGAGGTTGTTCGAAAAGTCTTCCTCCGTCAAAATATGTGAGTGTGTCAAGCCTCTTGCAGTCTGCATGAATCATACGCCATTTATGACTCCCTTCTTCTTAGCACTCCTTATTGTCGTGAGCAATATGTGCAGGACTGGCCCCGTGGGCTGTTCTGGGCTCTGAGGACTGACTGTTACTCACTGATCATGACTCCTGACACGGCCAGCAGCAGAGCAGCAATGAGCGCAGACGTGCCCACGGACAGCGCCAAAGCCAGGCGAGAGAGAGAGGGCTGCTGGAGCTGAGATATCTCTGGAAGATCACATACAAACACGAATACATGTTCAGCCTCTGGGTTTCAAATCACAGCAGCCTACCAACTGAAAATTAATTTCAGGCTATACAATCAGTCATTGTAGCAAATCTGAGCATTATTAAACATTTAGAATGTAAAATTACCAACAGCGAAACAAAAGTATGGTGTGATTAGATTAGTAGTGAGCGTTACACCAGTTCTTCCAGTACATGCCACAAATATGCATACTACACACCACGTTGACGTTAACGCCTGTTTAGTTGAGAGTTGAGCTAGGGGTGTTTCAGGCATGTTTCAAATGAAAATATAAACCGTAGTAGACCCTCGACTACCCCCTGCTGTCTAGAGCCCACTTTGTTTTCAATTGCTGCGCTTTCTCTCATACCGCCTGAGAAGCCACCTGAATCGTTCATCTGCATCCGATGAGGCCATGGTCGAGGACTTGTGCACAAAACAAGCCCTGGACCAGCTGGTGCTGATAACGGTGATATTTTCTAAGTTCTAGCAGGGTCTGATGGTCAGAGGCAGGAGTGTATGGTACATACAAATGATGCAAATGACTTGAGAAATTTTACAAGGATGAAGTTGACCTCTTATTCAAAATTCCAGTTCCACCTTAAATAATAGAGCAGTTACATTCAGGCACGTGTACAACTGTTGCTCCATCAAAACAGGGGTGTTTAATCTTATCCGTAAAGGATCGATGTGGCTGCAGGTTTTCACTCCAAACAAGCTGGAGCACACCTGACTCTACTTGTAAAATCAGTTGGTCTCAGTCTTTAAACTGCTGATCATCTTCTGCTTTGCTGGAATGAAAACATGCAGCCACACTGGCCCTTTGTGAATAAGACTGGACACCCCTGATTTATGGTGGAAGCTGCCGAAAAAAGCCAACTTCAGCCTTTTAGAAACTACAATGTGAAAAAAACATTTAGCACCATTTTTTGCCAGCCTACAAGACTGGTGTTAGAAAGCAATATTGACACAGGTTTATTCTACATACTGTTCAGTTTTATTTTCTACTATTTGTCTTTCAGGTTTAATTTGGTTGTTAAAAGAAGGGTCATCTCAGAATAATAAGCCAATGTCAATCTACAAAATACATATATATATATATATATATATATATATATATATATATATATATATATATATATATATATATAAATATATATATATCTATCCGTGGTATGGTATATATATATACCAAACCACTACTAAATTATACATTAATTACTCCTCACTTGTGGATAATTAAAATGCATAATATTTTGTTGAAAGTGCAGATTTAAACCTTTCAGTCAAAACTACAGTGTTCATAAGAAATGAAAAAAAACATTATTTGGTGAAAAATTTTCATGCACACAGTCTTTTTGGAAAGAAAACCAAATGCATACAGTCCATTAATATATGAAGGTACACTATGATGCTTTTAAGTGCAATTTAACCACTTGTGCAGTCTTTTACCTGAAGAGTTGATGCAGGACACTCCATCAGAGGCCAGAATTAGATCCTCACAGTAACACTCTGTTCCCTCCAAAGTCTCATGGCACTCTCCTGACTCACAGTGACTGCAGTTCTGCACCGGGTTAATGATCACTTCACCATCGCCCTCCATGGCTGACACCAACATAACATATAGCGCAATACCAGAAAGAAAAAGAACTAGCATCAGTCATGAGAATATATGGATAATTCTACTGAATTAGTTCAAACCGTGGTCCCACAGGAAAATAAATAAATAAATAAATACATATATACATACATACATACATAAAAATCTATTTAAACACAATGCATGAATAGAGATAGTAATACGCTAAATATATACTAAATCATTTATGTATGTACTTTCTATTCGAAGTGTCAGTCCTAAACCCTAACCCTTAAATTTCCACTTGTTACAAATAATAGCTGCATTTTTTTGTTTTTCTTTTCAATGTTTTTAAGAGCTTTTTGATTTTCTTTTAAAGTGAAGTTGAAAGATTTATGCTTAAAACTGTGTTCGTTAGTCGTGTACCAGCTAGTGTTCTGCTCAAAATTAGCTAATTGTCCCTACCGAAACTGTCACTACTGAAACATTGTGTAAAGTTTTGGCAGTGCTATGTTTGTTTTGTTGCCGAGAAAATGTAATGTTCTATTATTTATTTACATTTATTTTAATTAATAAATAAAAAAAACACAACTAAGGTTCAGGGTTATTCAAAGCAAAAGGATTTCAGTCTCAAGTCCAAATCAGTTAAAAGTCCAAAATAGGTTCTGAACTCTGACTTTGGGCCAATTTGTTAGAATGGTCCATATGTTACCATTTAATACCATTTAATAAAAACACTACACAGAGGCACCAGCATGAATGACTTATTCTGAGGTTGAGAAACACTGGCCTGCACTACACTATGGCATATACAGGAACAACAGGTCAATGCTTGAGTTCCCAGTTGAGTATTGCCATGGCAACTGATGTCTCAATCAAATTCTGAACAGTAATTGATATGGTATAAATGAGAGGTGCATGGAAGAGGCCTATCAAGCAATCAAATGTTAGAAATAAAATTGGTATAAGATAGAAAATAATGATTAAAAAACAATTTAGCAATTCAATGTAGGACACAATCATGTAGTAAATGGACTGACCTCTTCAAAAAGATGAGCAGTCATATAAAAATTAACAGTCATAAACATTTTTTGATTAATCCACTGATTGTCAAGGAATAAAATGAAATTCCACAGGGAATGCATAGGAGTCATCTGACCCCTTTTATGAACACTTGAGACAAAATGTTATTTTTTTCAGAACCCATGACCAAGAAATTTAGAAATGACATTCGTGAGGCCCACAAGCAAGATGTTTGAGGAATACTGGCAAATCAAAGAACTAAATGTTTTTATTGATAAAATATTCCACAAATAACACTTACCTGGTCAGTTTGATCCCCTTTTATGCATTCTAGGGTTAAGACTTGATTACCACCAAAATACAAGGCTTTCTGGATGTTCATTATCAACGTCATACAGCTACCTCAATTATTATGGAACCTATAGCTTTGTTTATCACATCTAAAATGTAATCTAAAATCACTTTAAATCACCTAAAATCTAAATTTCTTCAGATTACTACAAATTATTTTAAACTCTGATGTTGTGGAGTACTCCACTAGATTCTTAGAATCCTTTTATATTTGTGTCTGCAACAAATTTGGTTCAGTGCTAGACTATTAAAAACACTAGCTTCACATTTTTGAACAGTAATTGTAAAATTTTGTATGGAAGTGCAGATTTTGAAAGGGGACACAAATAATTTGAGGCCCTGATTTTTTGCAAGCTTGTGTTACCTTTGAGTGCATCCATGAACATCTCTCCGTCTGGGCTGATGAAGGATGAACCATCCTCTCCATCCTGTTCAGGGTCATTGTTTCCTGAAGTGCTGCCACCTACACGCGCGGAGGCGAAGGAACAGTTCTGATGCAACATGGTAGTAACAGGATCAAAGTAATGGAGCAAGAAGTTGTGCACTGCAAAAGCAATGGCATGCAATATGGGTCAGTATGACATAATGTGAAGTCAGTATGAAAAGAGAAAGAACCTCTGTAGCCTCCTCCTCCTCCTCCACTTGTACATGCTCCTCCACCTCCCCCAAAGCCCCCACGAGTCTTCCAACCCAGAGTTTGGCATGGTTCTCCTCCCTGACCTCCATGAACCAGCGGTCTCCCACCCTGAAGGACAGGGATGCTGTCATTCCAGCCTCCACCACCCCCTGAAATACAAAGACAAACTTTGCAGAAAGCCGAAACTCATTCTTTCATCTGTCTGTTTAACAAAGACAACCTTTCAAAAGTTGAGTTCACTGTTCACAAGCTTGGAATCAATGTTTTCAGCAATTTTAAACCAATTTGGTTATAGATAAATGTATAAAATGATTCTGAAATGCAAGTTATTGTTGGTTTATGGTTAAACGCATTTTTTCTTAAATTCCACATTGACTATTGAAGAAACAGAGTCTAAATGATGGGAATTCTAGTGGCTAAATGACACCCCAATGGTAGATTCACCCCTATAACTGCCTCTGAGTCATTTATTTATTTAATATTAATATCATTCCACTTTGAAAATTATTATTTTTTCAGTAAAAGCAGTTTTCTTTGTCAAAAATAAAATAAAAGCTTGATTGAAGAGCATTTAATGGTTGCATTCCTTTGCAATTGAATGGTTATATAGCTATGACAAGTCACCGTGCTCAATTCCATGGTTTACCTTTAAATGCTTATTTAAATGTGATGTTCTGCAGTCCTTGCTTGTTGGCACACCATTCAAAATACTGGTATTAACAGATTTTCCAATAAATTTTATATTTTTACTACTGTTTGTCTTAAGTGTAAATAAGTCCTCACTGACAACTTGCTTGCTTTAGTTAAGTTCAATCTACTGGTACTTATATAAGTGTCTCTAAGTAGCTTGTGTGGGTCAGAAATAGCCTCATAGTATTGATATTCTCTATCGTCAATACTGTATTTAAATGCTAAAGCGGTATCAGTATCGGAGCAACACTAACAACAAGTGATTCCAGTTTGTCGGCCGTCCCAGAATAAGCAACAGCCTCCATTTCAGCTGTGTCCTTATATAACTTCTAAAGTTGGTTCTTTTTCTGCTGCTCCAGCAAAGAGTGCTATAGAGCCGAGTCTTTTAGCTTGCGTCCCCTGTCCTCTCAGCGAGTAGATGATACGACTCGGAGAGTGGGACGCTTCACACATTACTGTGAAAAGCAGGAGGACGTCTAGAAGCAGAACACACAGAGATGATTCCGAATGTGGCAGATCGTCTCCGCTCTCGCCTTCCCTCCGCTTCCGAAAGCAGGTCACTGCTGTTACTTAGCAGGGAAAACACACCAAATTATTCCACAAGCCAACCCTGCCCTATTTTTCCAACTCCCTCTCAACTTCACTACAGAATACAGGAGCCTGTAAAATGAGACCAACGTAGGTACTCTCTGTCCATAAGAGGCATGGGGGGGAGAGAGAGAGAGAGAGAGAGAGAGAGAGAGAGAGAGAGAGATAGAGACAGAGAGAGAGAGAGAGAGAGAGACAGAGAGAGAGAGAGAGAGAGAGAGAGACAGAGAGAGAGAGAGAGAGACAGAGACAGAGACAGAGAGAGAGAGAGAGAGAGAGAGAGAGAGAGAGAGAGAGAGAGAGAGAGAGAGAGAGAGAGAGCTTTTATTCTCAATGGCTCAGTGGTTTCAGTGAACACCCCAATCAATGTATAACGTCTTATTGCACTGCTGGTTGAGTGAATTACACGTATGAAGAGAAACACAGTATAATTGTGATGGATATGCTCATGTACTGTATATTCATAACACTTGCAATTTGAACATTATCTTACTATAGTTGATGAAAAACATAAAAATGCTTGTGGAATTGCAAGTATAGATATAGTCAATATAAACATGAACAACAAGAAAGAATATCACTCTCTGTATTCACTCTTATGCATTTATCCGTCAAGGCTGTCAAAAGAAAATCTTTTTAGCAAAATGGTAACTATAAAAATCACACCAGTCAAAATGAAAGTCAAACCATCACTGCTTCTTTTGTAAACATGCTTACTCGCATCCAACAGCACTGCTGCAACAGTCTCTAGAGTGAGATTTTCCAGTTTACAGACGAGGAACACCCCCTTCTGATGATGTAACTTTTGAAAAACGACAACTGCTATAGGGTGAATCTTTGAGGGTGGGTTGTTTTGAATGTTTTTATTTATTATTGTATTTTTAATTTTTTTCTTTTACTGGCAATGCAGTAGGAAGTCAAACAGTTAACATTACTACTAGGAATTTTAATGCATCTGTAGAAACTCCCTTCAAATCATCATTACAGTGGAGAGAATGGATTACTCAAATGACAGAAATGACTTGTCTACTAAAAGCTGGTTAGAGTTTAGCTCCTCATCTCTGACTGAAAGGGTAAAAAACTTGCTTGGCATTCATTTTATGCTGAATAAAGACAGAATTACTGTTTTCTTAAAAAAAAAGTTTGAAAACTGAGCCCCAAAGTTTTATTACACACTTCAATAACCTCAGAATAGCTCAGCCAGTTTGCACTGAAGTCCCTGTAGTTACTGTATAACAAGTTTTAATATGTAATAAACCTGGTATTTTAAGGGGTTAATGCTAGTTTGGTTATATTTATTAGCTTATAGAAAAGTGGCTAGGCTAGCAGTCAAGAATGGCTGACACCACAGGGATTTACAATGGTCGTATGAAGTTTCTGCATTAAGCATGCTCTGTGAGAATGCTGATAAATGAAAACATGAAAACGATGCAAAGTCATAATTTTTGTCAAACCAATGAGGCAGAGGGATATAATTCTCCTGTACAGAATACTGTATAACATGATAAATAACATACTGAACTGTATTTTTGGGCCAGAATGCTCCATTAACTTTAATGTATGATAATCTAACCAGATTTTATTCCAAGTAATTTTGAAACTTTGCTTCTGGTTCATTCATTATGAAGTTTTCATGCAATGTAAAGGGCAGCTGCTTCCAAATAGTGGGGAAAAAAAGTTAAACTACAAAAATAAAGTGACAAAGTTTTGAAATCACAGCGACAATATGTTGAAGAAGATAATGAGTTGTACTGGTTTGGTATACTGAATGACTCATGCTTAAACGACCACGCACAGATGTACGAAGTACAAATCGACAACAAAAAAGGGCAATAAATACGACTTTAACAAAATGAAACACCAGCGTATAGACGCATGCCTCATGCGCCTCTACAGAAGATGGAAATAAGTACTTGTCAGCTAGCACAGCGAGTGAAGTAGAAGAGGAATTGTGATTAAGGCCTTGCACTGGTCTTATGTGCTGGCTTCCAGCAGCAGTAAATAGAACACAAAGGGAGGTTCTGGCCTTTGAAAAGCAACGCTCTGACAGAACTCATACTGCGTTCACGGCAGGAGAGGACCACGGGAGACCAAAACACACAGACACACACATAAGCACACACAGGTATAAACATCCACATACTTATGAAAACTGTAAAAAAGCCACACATGTTGAAATACACTAACTATATTTACCACTTCAGCTTCAAAACATCCACATCTCTCAGATGAACCGTGCGCAAATATATACAGCATACATTCATAAATATACAGCCTAAAACCACAGGGCTCACATCTCACACATAAGATGCAGTCCAAGACACATACGTTCTCCTGTACAGTGCCGCTAGGTTCAGGCCCAAAAATGCATTAGTATTCAATGAGCCCTGTCCATGGGAGGAGACACACAGTGTCCTTGAGAAACTGTAAGGCTTATTTCATCCAATCATTCAAGATGCTCACGCTGACAAGATCACGACCCTCCGCAAGTTCACTTGAAACAGTCTTCCCCTTAGTGCGGCACTTTTTTCTTGTTTCATTGATGTTTGAGTTGTAGGATGTGTTGTCATTAGGCATAAACTTTGTAGCAGTGCTGTCAAAGTTATGATGTGATAAATGATTATGGCCACTATGTTGTAAACACATTTGCCTAGTGTGACCTTTCAAACCATCTGTAATTTCAGCGTGAAGCTCAGCTGCTTGCACACTGTGTGTTGCTAAATTGAAACATTTAGCAAATTTCCAAAAAGTCAGTAAAAGAAAATAAGAATAAACCAGTGTTTGCATCATCTAAGGTCAGGCGCAAATTCTTAAAGATTAACTGACACGTATACATACACAGAACATACACATAGCGGCTCATTGTGTTTTTTGTTTAATATGCAGCAACAACAGCGGAGGAGAAACCCATTTAAATGGAGTATCATTGGCACTTAAACCAGGTCTTAGTTAAAATGACACTAGAAACTGTTGTAGACGTCCTTATTGGGGGCCAACTGTCACTTGCAGATTCAGAAAATATATTTTAATATCATCATTCTGAAGTACTATTTACAAGCAAAACATACCACTGATATAGCAAAATCAAAAACTGGCCAAGACTTTGCTGGACAGTCCTTGTGGTGAACTATGCATTAATCAACAAGCAGCAAACTAACAAAAGCAACAGCAAAGTGGAAATGTACAGTTTCTCCAGAGGAAGCTGCAGAAATGTTACTGAATTATTAAAAGTAATAAATACATTCTGATGAAGCTTATTTTGTCCACTCATTCATTGCACTGCTTTAAAATCAAAAATATCTTTTTTAGGGTCGAATTTAAGCAAATGAGATGTGATTAATCACAACTAACTATGCAATCATACATACATAATTTCGATAATCAGTCAAGTATACTTAAACTACTACTTAAAACCATGAAGTTTTTAATGTAGTCGTACCTGCAGCTCCTGACACGCCGTTTAGGCCAGGGATGCTGGGGTCATGGTCCACCTCCTCCTCCTGGCTCTCTGAGTGACCGCTGTAGCCACGGCCTCCACCCCCAGCGGCGATGAGCAGAGGAATGTAGACTCCGTTCTCCACCTGAAACCATTCAATAACACTGCTACTGTACTGAACCTGGCAGAGCTGCCTGCTTACACTCTTAAAAACAAAGGTGCCAAAAAAGGTTCTTTTGCGCAGTGCTGTAGAACAACTACGTTTGACTGCCTAGAGAACTTTTCAATGCTTTTTTTTTTTTTTAAAGAATCATGAATTGCAAGTATGAAGAACCATTTTAAAGTTTAAAAGTCATATAAAATATAAAGGTTTTGAATAAATTAAAGGTTTCCTAGGAATATATTTCCAAGCCAAGAACCAATTAGGTACCTGTACTTGCATACATGCCCAGTTCACAGCACACACATCTCCTGTTTTATTCATACAACCATGAATACAAATTTCCTTCCATCCATCCATCCATCCATCCATCCATCCATCCATCCATCCATCCATCCAACCATTCATCCATCCATCCATCCATCCATCCATCCATCTCCACTCTGAAAAGTAAAGGTGTCAGTAAGGGTTCTTTGGAGTAAGGCAACAGAAGAACCACCTTTGATTACCTTTTGGTTACCTAAAGAACCTGTAAGAGTAAAGAATCTTTTTAAAGAGGCTTTATAAAATATAAAGGCTCTAAACCAATTAAACGTTTTCAGAGAACAAGAACCATTTAAGAATGTGTTACTCACATACATGTCCAGTGCAAAATGCACTAATCTCCTGCCTATATAAACAAATTTCTATGTCCATCCATCCATACATCCATCTTAAAATAAAGGTGCCAAAAGGTTCTTTGGAGCGATGCCATAATAGAACCACTTAATCCAAAGACCCATTTCTTAGATGAGATATGGGCCCCATGCACACTACAACTGAAAATGCACTACAAACTCATAAAAGTGATGGAAATTCAGAAAACACTTTCATCAACATGACTACACCTGAGGTACATTTCACAATCGCACCGCAAACTCAGGAAACATCTTCATCAAAATGATGACAGCTGAACTACATCTCACAAATGCACTGCAAATACAAAAAAAACATGCAAATTCAGAAATGCCAGTCACAGCACAAGGAAAACAGAAGACTCTCAAAGGGGATGGAATATCTATGATGGGCAATCACTGACAGCAGTTGATAATAACACAGACACTCACAGTCGAGTAAGATCATGGTCAACCTGGCTGGCTAGTAAGCTATCTGACTATTATATTGTCATGGCTCTACTATGGTAGATGTCTGATATTACCATTTTAACATTTCCAATTCTACTTTACATCTAATTCCCATTACGATACAGTGATATCAGTTATCTGTTAAAAAAAAGAATGAATGTTTATGCTGCATAGTATTTGAAAGTTTGAATAGCTATGTCCTCTAAAAACAAAATGTTTCCAATGTGTTGTGACTGGCTTATCAGCGTTTTAGAAGTTGTATGCGTTTTCTGTATTTGCAGCTTGTTTATGAAACGTAGCTCAGGTGTATTCATGTTGATAAAAGTGTTTTCTGAGTTTGCAGAGCATCTACAAAGTTGCAGTGCATTTTACTATTTTGGAGAGTGTTTGTAAAACACACTGCATATGTTATCATTTTGATGAAACTCTTTTCCATGTTTACAGCTCATACTTTATTTGTAGTTTGCTGAGTCTTCTCAGCCACCGTATCCAAGTGTGAAAAAGCTTAACATAACGTAAAGCTTCTATTCCAATTAAACTAGTTTCCTAGAGCCATTTGTCCAAACCTAGAACCAGAGAGGAACCTTTATTTTTTATAAGTGTCTGACATTAATACTACAGAGGCTTCACCTTAAAAATGTAGGTTCCACCCCCTCCTCCTCCTCCTCCCCCTCTGAGCACGCTCTTGCTGTCTGGAGGGCCTTTCTGATCACGACAAATCTGCCGCAGAGGCTCCAGAGCCTGAGAGAACAGTAAAGAGACAAGAGATGCAACGGGAAATTCAAAGAAATGTCAGATTCCTTAACTCGCTGGGTTTACTGCTGCTGCTTTCCAGCAGACCACATGCTGCTGTGATATCAGCTACTGTTCCGTAAATACATCAGTCTCCTCTGTATGGCGAACATCAATGCTGGAAAAGTTGTGAGGATATTAAGTAAATCTGGTTTTGTGCTCACTTTAGGACAGGCATCTTCTCCCTGCTGTCCCACCAGGATGTAGAGCACTTCGTCTTTCAGCAGCCTGAAGTCTCCTGTGATGTAGACCCCATGTGATCGGAGCGTGGTCAGAACGCTGCGTCCACCTGCCGCACCATAAGCTGTAATCCTGTATCAAACACACAACAATTTTGGATTTGCATTATGTTGAATTTGATCGTTAGAAGTATAAGTTATTATTAGTGACAACACAAGCATGATGTATTTTAATGTTACTTATTTTATGCTCATAATACATTAAAATAAGCAGAGAAACTCAAACAGTAATATAAGGAATAATAGGCTAAACACAATTTTGTATTTAATTAAACACCAATATGTATTCATAATACAGAAATTAAGTATCAGTACTCATCAGTAGACAGTAAAGACAGTAGTTGAGAATACAGTTGCTTTTTAGGAGAAACATTTTAGAACACTTACTCATACAATATTTAAAAGGAACCATCAATTCTTGTTTAGCACATGGCGTGTAGCAGACAAGCTCATTAGACGAACTCTAAAGAGGGCCTCTATTAACAGCTTCTTTATGAACACTGATTTTCCTCCTAAAGCCTGAGTAGACTGATAAATCAGTGTGATAATCAGTTATTACACTCAGCATTACTGAGTTCTTTTAAGAGATGATCAAACTAATAATCTCCTATGTGGAGGTCAGATTGATAAACCGAGCATAGGTGCTGTACTGGACTCCTGCGCAGGGGATTATGGGAGCTGTGAACTAAGGCAGATAATGAGAGACAAGAAGAATGTCAAGAATTTTGAGACTTCATTTAAATGATAAGTTATTTTTTTGGCAACGCTTTACTTGAAGGGTGTCTACATAACACATTCATAACATCTTACATAAGCACTTTATAACATCCTAATGAATGTTTAAATCAACATTTATAAAGTATACATTGTACATGATATTAATATGGACTACTGTGTCATTTTATTGAGATACATTATTCAAGATAAAAACCCTAATTTTTCATTTTGAACAAGTATATTATTTTCAGTAAAATGCCTCATTTCTGGACAGCCAAAATAAAAATGACCTCGCTTTATCCCTTTGGTCATTAACTCTTATTCTCCAGGGTATATTTTGGTTTTTCCATCTGAATTTACATGACCAAATCATAAGGCAAATTATTCAGTAACTGCATGACATATGCAGTTACTGACTGATATTGCTATATGCTTACAATTTACTGCTGAAAGCCAAAAATCTTAGAGGCTGTTTGTATTATTTTATAAAAATATTTTTTACAGAGCAGATCACTGAAGAGACACCATCTGTTTATAGTTTATAGCCCTGATTTTTGGAAAAATTGGTTGACTTTCAGTAGACCAAAAAAATTCAGCTTTTTTTATCATGAGGGTTTAAAATTACATCACCCATCCATTTGACTGGAAAGAAGACAGTTACAGCTCTCATATGACACCCACCTTTTGAATGTAGCTTATGAAATATGAAAGTTATAAAGAATATGACGAAGTGCGTTTTGGAACCACCGGTGGTCCCGAGGAGTTGAAGAGGTGCTTTGACACTCAGGCACGATTCACCTATACTTTTGACTACTTTCTAATGATGTGATTTTCTTAAGCATTTGTTGCTTTGCATGTCACTTTACTACATGGGCAGTAAATTACTCATAAATAAGCTTAGCAACAAATCACTCGACTAAATCATAGTACGGTGGTGTGCCAAAGTGTCAAAGCACTTAGTGACCAAAGGGATAAAGCAGGGTCATTTTTATTGTGCCTGTCCAGAAATGAGGTGTTGTACTGGAAATAAAAGAGTTTTTCAAAAATAAAAAAAGAGAACTTTTATTTTGAAAAACATTTCTCAGGAAAATGACATAGTAGTCCATATTAATATCATGTAAAACATGTATGCTTTATGAATGTTGATTTAAATGTTTATGAACATGTTATAATGTGTTTATGTAAGATGTTATAAATGTGTTATGTAGACACCCTTCAAGTGTAATTTTTTAATGAAATGTATTGACTGCAGAATTAAATGAAGAAAACCGCCAACTATTAACTCTAATAGCAATGTGAATTAAGTTAAAAAAATTAATAAATAAAACAATCTAACCTAATGCCTTACAAGATGTACTCAAAATGTATTCTGAATGTTACTTTTTCATGTATTGCTGAATATAGTATAAGAGAGTATATTCAGTTTTAAGCCATCACTACTTTTTTAAAGCATTTTGCCCGACCCTGGTTAAAAGCATACAGCAGAACGATTTGTATGTACCTCATCACGCGTCCATAGAACCATAAACCTTTACGAAATCCAATCAGGTTAGCCCTGCTGCCCTTTCTAAAGTGGACATTACTAAGACTTAGAATCTGCTCTGGTCAGATCCCACCTCACCAATTTCCTTGATTACTCTGGAAATGTGTTTTCTCATTTCTCAGCTTCTGTAGACGCCAATTAACTGAACAGCCTGGTTCCTTTCGATCTGAGGCTATAGCTGTGTCTAGAAGGAATTAGTTCTAGTGTAATCATCAGTGAAATGACTGCTAAACAATTTACAGAGAAGATGGAAGGGCAGCTCTCTATGCGTACGTGTGTGTGTGTGTGTGTGACAGAGAGTGAGTAAGTGTGCGTACGGGGGCGCATTTTTGTGCTGTTTATCAGGATCAGAATCAGAAACACTGGCCAAGCAATCTGTCTTGTTGGAACTAGTGCGTACATGACAATACATGATATAAACAGTAAACAAATAAATAATAGATATAATAAACAGTCACAAAGGGTGTCGCAAATGTATACATCTCCCCATGATATCACAACAAGCAGTGCCTTACATTATGCACATGACTGTAGGTACAAATATGTAAATATGCTATTAAGGAATATATTAATTATTGCCACTTCATGTTACACATAGCAAAATATATTCTTACATAGAAAGAGTTCCCTGGAGTGATGCCATTGGATAACCACTTTTGGCTCCCTAAAGAACCTTCCTACAGATTTCAATGAAGTGTTTGAGTATGAAGACCCTTTTTAACTTTTAAGGAACTACTACCTATATAAAGGTTCTACTATATGTAAAGGTTTTTTCTTAGAGCTGTACATCCAAGCAAAGCACCCAGACAGGGACCTTTATTTTCCACTGTGTGCCAATATGTGCAGAAGGCAACATGACAGATGTGCAATGCAAGGTGTACAAAATCTACAAATACATACATCAAAATTCCAGCAAAATGCCGCAAGACAGGTCCTGTTTAGAGCTGTTGGTGATATTACCTGTATGTTCCTGTCTCAGGAACTCTCCACATCTGGATGCCCTTCAGCACTCCCTTTGTTCCCACAGTCACGTTGATGTTGGTGTTGCGGTAGGCGCTGGCGCACTGAGAGGGAGTCGGGCCCTCTGCTCCAATGGCCCCACAGGTATGGAAAAACCACTTCATAGCTGCAAATACACAAACACAAACATGTGGGATGCTAATACTTGTTCCAAACCAGAAAACCCCTTCACATCTCTACTTACAGTTACATTACTCACTTAAACTGCAAAAGCCTGGACAGGATTCAAGATGCCTTTATTTATTGGAATTCTTATATGGTTCTTAGTCAAACAAATAAATAAACACAAGCATAAACAGTGTAATATGATATAAATTACAATATAAATATATATATATATATATATATATATATATACATATATAGCTCCAGTTGGACTACAACAGTTTTGCAACACTGCTACTTGGAGAAGCAGTATTTCAGCCCACTTCCAACCATGCAGCTTTGACTGGTTCACATCAAAGGGAGCAGCTCCATGCTGCCCACTTAGCTGAGATAAAGAGGATTGAAGTGAGCGGGGAAGAAGGGCATAAGTACTGTAGGACATTTGAATCTTCTACAGTCTCTGTAGGACATTCAGGACCCTTATTCTAATAACAAACAGTCAACATGTAACAACACATGTTGGCTAATAACAAACATTTCTCCCTTTGCTCTTTTTGCAGCTGTGGACATCACCGCTCATATGCATTGTGGAATTTTTTCAGTGCCCTGTGATGGTGGCACGGATGGGGACAGCCATTACTCCTCATTAGAGCTGTAATGGTGCACAGAGGGCTGACAGCATTTCTCCCATTTGCCATTAGACAGGAGATTGCTGTTGTCAGATGGGCACAGCGGTGTTTCTACGGGCTGCAGCGTGCACTTGGAATCAAGTTCCTAGAGAGTCGGCCAAGAGCAGTTGTGTTTGTTCTTTTTTTATGCGGGAGAGATGCAGAGAGGAAAAAGATCACTGCTGTGCCTAAACTGTGTTAAAGACTGCGCTTGATGAACTGGATTCACCATCAGACTGTACAACATCCAATCATTCCTGTGGACACATGCTGTAACAGGAAACGGCGTTTGTATTCTGGCTCAGATTACAAAAACCTCTGTGGGGAAACAGTCGCTGTACTCTGTTCTGAAGCAAAGTTGTTTTTCTCTGTTCTCTGTACGCATTAAAACGGAGTGTCCGGAGGACGTACCTTAAGTTCAGCCTATAGCTCGTTCAGCCGATGGTTCATCTAGTTGCCATGGTAACACATGGTAATGCATGTCATGGGTTTAGAATGTGAAAGTAGTCAAGAAACTTTACAATTGCTAAAAAAAAGTGTTGTTTCGCTTTCTAGTTTTCTTAAAATTTGATAGCATTTTTTTGGGATATCTTGTCTACATGTAACTGCAATTTTGGCAATTCATGTGGTTTTTGTTGAAAATTTCCTCTAGTGAACTAATAAATTAGCATGTTATCCAATGTCACTCGAGTGGAAGGTAAAGACAGATACTGAGCTAACTAGCCTGCTAATGTCAGCCATTCATTACGAGCTAGCTATGTAAATAAAATAACACTCTATTATATGAAGTCCTCTAAGGTAAAAGTAATGGACAGTGGATGGTTTTGACAGTCTAGATTATATATCAGATGTAGTTTAGTTTTGGTTGCAATAGTGGTTGTTTTAACAAGCATTTAATGTTTCGCCGGCTCTTTGTAGTCTCTGCCTTGTTGAAAAGCTTGTTTGGAGTCCTGGGTGTCATGTCACTAGTTAATGCTAGTTTTGATTGAAGTGCTATTTTTAGATTTTTAGAGAACATTTTGAGAGACATTTTTTAATGCGGTGCTGTTTAATTTTCAGAAAATGTCTATACCAAGACATTCACTGTTGAACCAATTCAGTGATGTTTTTAAACTGATTTTGTTCTCTTTTTCCGTGCTCCACCAGGATCCTCTCTGTGTGGGGACTGCAGGTTCTCTCTGTGTCTGCGTGGGTTTCCTCCCACAGTCCAAAGACATGCAGTCAGGCTAATTGGATGTGCTAAACTGCCCCTAGGTGTGTGTGAATGTGTATGTCTGTATGTCTGTCTGCCCTGTGATGGACTGGCCAGGGTGTACCCTGCCTTCCGTCCAATGACTGCTGGGACAGGCACCAGCACCCCCCAACGATCCAGAAGGATAAGTGGTTTAGAAAAAAAAATGTGACTGAAGTTTAAGCTGCAATTAAACTGTTCTGTGTAAGAAAAACCAAAACCCTTAGTAATATTATTGCCATCTATCGTCTAATATTACTCAATTATTTATGCTGCTCCAGTTTGGCAGAAATTTGGCTTCCAATAAATCAAATGTGGAGAACCACTTAACAAAGTTACACAGCATCTGTGCAAAAAACAGACTACTGGTAAGAGTGATAAGACCACCAATTAGCAACCCCATCTCAGGATACATTATCCAGCTTAAACCAGCTCTAGTTCATCCCAAAAGAGAGGGTCCATAAAACCAAACGACTGGCTAAATCAACAAACTGGCACCCTTCTTCTGAAAAAGCTCCTTCATTTTACTCTCTCCTGGAGCAGATCTCATGTCCCAGAGTTTCTTTGTTCCCCAGCAATTTTTGCAAGACTAAAAAAAATTGTTAATAATCTTTCCAAGTGACATTTAAAGTGTGTGTGTGTGTGTGTGTGTGTGTGTGTGTGTGTGTGTGTGTGTGTGTAGTTAATTAGTTAGTGATGTTCTTTTTGTATAGTCTATAATTAAGTGCAATCTTTTCAACTGCGTACAGGTTTGAACTAACCACAGATTATAATGATTGTACAGAAAGGATGGTTAAATAAAAGTGAAGCAATTAAAAAAGGAGAACAAAAGAACCATCATTTGTATAATATCAGCACTTATTGTATTGATCACAATATTTGATAACATCAATGACTGGCCCAAGGCTGGTGATTTCTTATGTCATTCTGTTATTACATCCTGATTGGTGCCTATAAGCCATTCCTCATTAGCTATATTAGGTCAGCTCTAGTACAAAATTACAATATCTTACAGGCCTCCAGAGTGGCAGACGTGTTGGATCTATCATCAGGAGATTGTGAGTTAACTGTCAGTGCTATGCTAGCCAATGCAGACGTTTGTTAGCTGACATAACAGAATTGGCTGTTAGCCAACCGTGTTGAGCTGTCCAACAACGTTACATTAAGAGCAGTTAGAAAAAATGTGGCTGTTTCACGTCTTGGAGGAAGCACATGCAAGAATTTAGCCAATAATAAGGGAAAATGGAATAAAAATATCCAAAAATATACAATATCTTGTTTGATGGACTTAACTTGGGGTGAAAAAAATACATAAATTGCACTTTTTCTCTGAACTATTCTATTAATTTTCATGGCAAATACTTCACAGTTTACACCTTTCTCTACAGAAACCACAGAGCAGGTGGCCACTTTTTATGTAGCTCACTCTCCTCTTCATAAATAACGCAACCACTTACCTTCTGCTTTGCCCCACACACACACACACACAGAAGCTCAAACGTATGCAGATCTCATTTCTCATTTTGCTCTGCCGGCAATGACTGACATGTTCCATTTCCCCATTACTCCCAAACTTCACAAATGAGACTTTGACTCTTTCATCTCTCTCTCTCTCTCTCTCTCTCTCTCTCTCTCTCACCATGACTAAACAACGTATATGACAAAAATAGCACAATCAATCAGACTTTTTTTTTCATTATTAAGATGTGCACCCTGGGGCGCCCAGAAGTTCTAATAAGAGTGAATACTGATGGATACACAAACCACACACATCCACATAAAGAAATGCACACAGACACTCTCTTACACACACTCTCTCTCTTGCAAATATTCCGTTTCTCTCTGAGCTTTATTCTGTCGCGCACACTAGGCACCAATTGTTTTATCAGCTATTTACAAAAACACAACTTTACCCTCTATAATCTCTTAATGAGCTGTGATATAAGGCACAAACACAGTGAGAGCGGGGAGCAGGAACGTCTCTACACCTACCTAGAAGAAAGCAGGGGCGTCACTAGACCCAATTTACTGGAGCATACGCTCCATTTGGGAAATTGGGAAAAAAAGTCAATATGCAAGTATAAAGTTTCCAGTTTTAACCGTGATTGATGGGCTGAACTACACGACACAAAACATTATGACCATGCAAATTCACCATAGACACTACATTTCCCATAGTGCCTCAGGGTCTTTCCTTTGAATGCTCTTCACAGCAACTGTTCTCAACTATACACCTATGGAGCCGTAGGTGCACATGAGCATTCATACACAAACATTTGCATATCTACTTTTAACAGCAGGTCAAACACTAGAGCCCTTCACATGCTCACTGAAATGTCAAGGAAACAGCCCTATGTTGCCAAGACCCTGCATTCCCTAATTCTGGAGGTGGGGGTGGGTTCAGAGGGTCTTTTTTTCCCGATAATTTCCAGGATCAGGATGAAACTGATGAGCCCACATTTTAGCCCCATGTTTCCTCATTCTAACATACTAGGAAATAAAACTAACATCCTTAATTCTAAAGTATTAAAAAACAAAACATTCTCTGCTTTTTGTCATTTTTATTTATTTATTTTTATTTTTTTTCTGAATTTGAGAGTGCCAGCTGCCCTTCACAAATTGTTAGAATTTCATAATGAATGGACCAATATAAATGGTTCAAACTTTGAACTGCAATTCAAAGTTTATACTTTTTTCCCTAGGTACTATTTTAGAGATACAATGTTTTGTCAGGACATTGACGATATTCTGAAATGCTTATTGAGTTTATGTATGCTACAATCTGACCTCTCTAAAAATTGGTTTGCATTATAAAGTTTGCTTAGTTAGCTAAAAAGCTCACTGCAGCTCGCCCAGCTGAGGCGCAATCCTCTCCCCGTTGTCCTCTTGTATGACCTTTGATGACCCCTGAATGCTAACCACGACCACAGAAACACAGGATCCTGGGAACAAGGGACCATGGGAACGTAAGACTAAGGCTATGTTCACACAGCAGGTAAAAGTGGCCCAAATCCGATCTTTTTCTTCATATGTGACACAGATGTGTTATCTATGTGTCAGTGTGAACAGCAAAAAACACAACGCTGCAGTGTCAAAGCACGT